GAGCTTCTCTGTCTTTTTGATAGGATCAGAGAAGAAGTGGCTTTTCAGCTTTTTTTTTGAATTCTTTGTTGACAATGTTTTTTTGGCATCACATTACGGGCAACAAAATTTCAAAATTTTTGATTTTGCTTAAACTCTTCGGGGAGAAGTCTCGGATGCTGGTCAAAAAGGACATATCCATTTCATGCAGTAGGGTCCTATTGTTGACTTGCCGTAGGTAGACGGTGGTGGGTCACAATTACAGAAAACCTAGAAGTTAGTCCAGTGTTGTTTGGCATGCTGACTGCAAACATTATATTCATTTCGCATCATGCGGTCATACTGCTGATGTACGGTAGGTAGCCACATTTTTGATACTGTTCTTTTACCGTCTGTCTATCGTAGTATAGAGCATGACATAAATATGCATTGCCGTCAGCATTTCGATTAACTCTAACACTTTTAAACCGGCGGTGATCCTCATCCCTGTCGTAGTACATCTTTTTATGGTAAACTCCACGTGTGGAATGGACGTGATATTCGGACCAGTAGGTGAGCTAATCCCACCAATTTCTCAAACAATTTCATGATGTTTACCTCATTTTGACTACCGTAGTTCCATAGTACGGCCATTTCGCGCGGAATGTGTATGATAATGGTGATCAGCAGTGCAATAAATCCCCTGGGCCAAGTCCAGAAGTTGGTTCGAAGCCTGGCTGTCAGAATTTTGCCTGCTTTGTCAGCATTTCTAAACGATAGCTTTATTTTTAAGATTCTCTGCCCACTGAATTGTTTAGACAAGTTGATCTGGCCATTACTCTATTCTCGCCAAGTACATAGGAAAAGCAAGCGAATCGAATCATTGTAGAATTACTTTTCTCTTCAAAGTTCAGGCTTTTTATAAAATTTGTTAAAATTTCAGCTTTTGCACCTCAATGTGCTCTTCAGCACCTGCACTCCTTCTAGAAAGAAAAACAATCTCACACGTTTCTTTCATTTGCTGATTAGGAATTCTCCTTTGCAGGACCACACATTTGCCATATATCAACGTTATCTGTCGGCATGCAACGTTGCCTTCACACTCAACGATTATACCGAAGACTTAGAAGCGATGTTTCGAGCCTTAGTTATAAACAAAAATGCGTAAGTCGATACTTTCACGTTCTCTTTTAGCTTTGATTTGTCTTGAAATGTATG